TAAATATTTAAAAAAAAATAGATTCAACCTCTAGGGAGTTTTGAGGTGAATCTATGTGCCAGGCACAATGTAAGTGGACACACAGACACAAAATAAGTCTCACAAAAATCCTTCATGTCGCATATATCATTTTACAGATGAAAACACTGAGGCTCAGAGAAGTCAGATATCTTTTTTTTTTTTTTGAGGTCAGATATCTCAGTGAAGGTCATGTAGTTAGTGAATGCCTAAACCAAGAATAGAATCAAAGTCACTAATTTCAGATTCTACTTCCTTTCTACTGCACATACACTACTTGCCTACAATTTCCTTTTTTCTTAACTCGTATATAATTTATAGCAGAGCAGAACACAGAGGTGTTTCCTCATATTTTACCCACATGTTCTTGCCAAAGTACATAGTCCTGCAACTTCCCATTTCTGTTCTTCTGGGCTTATGTCAATTTAACTTCCTTTCTGGTAGCAAGAAATGCAATGTTTACAGCTAGGTTTAGAGCTCCTGAGCTTTCCTTCTAAAGACTTCCTTTGAGTATAGGTTTTTAAAGGACTTCAATGATGTGCTGTTTGTTCTGAAAAAAATTGCCTGACATTCTGAAAAACATTGTTAAAATTTTTTAAATTAAATATTACTCTGCAGTAACTCTTAGGAAAGGATAATGGACTTATCTCAAAAAATTAACATACCTATCTTTAAGGCCATAGGCAATCAAGAAATAGGGCAAGTAAAACAAATAAAGCTTCGTGGAAGCAAGGAGGAATGCTAATTGGAAGAGAGGTGAAAAAATGGAAAGGCCAAACATTGTTGAGATCATCTACAGATACCTCAATCAACCAGGATTTTGACAGATGTGGCAGCAGAAAGACAACAGTGAGCCATGTGCGAGACGTTAGGGGTAGTACCCCGTAGGGGGACAGCAACACAGAGGGTGAACAGCATGCTCTGTTGCTATGAGCTTCGGAGGCAGCGTGTTTAGAAAGGGAGAAAGGAGAGCACTCGAAGTGGCAATGAGGAGCAAGGGAGGTCATCTATTCCGACTCCAGGTCCAGAAATAAGAGGAGTGAGAGAGAGGAAACAGGCATGACTTTTAAGGGCTGCAGGGAAGCAAGGTCCTTTCAGATGTCAGTTGGAAGATGATGGTAAAGATGTGAGAAATCAACATACTTTGACTGTATGCAGGTATTCTAAAATTACGTTACTCATCCCCCCCCCCAAAAAAAAAGACCTACTAAGGACAATAGAACCAACCCTTCGGGTACACAGAGAAAACAGTCCATACAGATTAAGTAATAATAACACAGGTATCTTCCACCTCCTGCTTAACATCAATCATCCATTCATCCATTACTGAAAATCATATATTCTACAAGAAATGCCAAAAAAGAACCTATTTTCCAATATTTCAAGTGAAAATTATTATAAATTGTAATTGTAAATTTTAATTCATTACATATCAACCCAAAACTACTAACCAACTTCTTAAAGTGTAACTAAAACACAGTAAAGCACCTATAAATAAGTAGCAAACTCCCCTGTAAGGATGTAAAATGCTTACAAAATCACTTCCTGATCAACAGCAATTCCCATGCTTGTTACCAGTTGCCTAATACGCAGTAACATGCTGCACATCCTCTTTGTTGACATGTGGTACACTTTACAAATTGTTTACATGTGATTGTGACATTACACTCATTACAATTGGAATTTGACACAAGACTTCCCCACAAGTTACTTTAAAATGCTGTATATGGTATTACTGAGTTTCCGGAATATAAATACAAATTTTTCTTATATAACCATTGGCCAAAACACATTGAACTGAGAGATAAGAACATCCTAGGGTATTTGGGTTAAATACTAAGAGGCTTTCTACTAAGAAAAACAATTGTGTAATTGTGAAGTCATTCTGCTTCACAGAGTAAGCACTGGCTTATTACATTTGTTCAACTGGGTTGATGGTAGCTTTAGTGTGTAAAGTTACGCAGGTTTACTATTCCCTCGAAACATCAAGATTCTCATGTTCAAAAAAGGAAAATAACAGGGCTCTCCTCAAGGGAGTTTTTTTAAGACTTACATGAGATAATGCATATAAAGCAGTTAACACAGTGACCTAGCATATAGTACATGCTCAAAAAACGGTTTCTAGAATTATTTTTATTGTTTATCCAGAAAGTATAGATTGTAAAAATTTACACATGCATTTTCTTGTTTGATCATTAAGACAAAACAACTCTATACAGGAGAGAAACAGGATATGGATTATTACTGCCACTTCACAAATTAAAAGACAAGTGCTTAAAAAAAGTAAAGTGACTTTCCCAAAGCTACATGGTTACCCTGCAAGATCTACCAGGACTGGAACCCCAAACCAGGAGCTGGCAAACTTTTTCTTAAAGAGCCAGACAGTATTTTAGATTTGCAGGCCATAGGGTCTCTGTTGCAACTAATCAACTCTGTTACTATAGCACAAAAGCAGTCATAGGTAATATGTAAATGGATGAGTGCACCTGTGTTCCAAGGTACCAATACCTTATTTACAAAAACAGGCAGTGGGTTAGAGTTGGTTCAGGGCTGTAGTTTACAGACCCCTGCCCTGGATCTTTGAGTTACTAGTCCAATGCATTTTCCACTACTCTCTAGTTGCGACCTATTTTCAGAACAGTGTTTAAGCCTGTGTCACTTAACGACATTAACTGTCGGGGGGGGGGGGGGAATCAGAAATAATTTATAGGGGTGCCTGGGTGGCTCAGTCGCTTAAGTGTCTGACTCTTGGTTTCAGCTCAGGTCGAGATCTCACGGGTCATGGGATGGAGCCCCACCTTGAGCTCAGCGCTCAGCAGGGAGTCTGCTCGAAGATGTTCTCCCTCTGCTCTTCCCCCCACTCACATGCATGCTCTCCCTCTCCTTCTCTCTTAAATAAATAAATTTTTTAAAAAAGAAATACTTTATAAAAGATCATTGGAAACAGTAAGGTATTACATGAATTTTATAATTAATGTTTTTCCCTTTTCTCCAGCTTTTAAAACTCTCTCTCAGTGCTCCCCTTATTTCTTTCTCCTCTAATAAAGCAGTTTGGCCCAGAAGTAAACACTGTTTTATCTCTCCAAAGTGCTCAAGAAAAAATGTGTTTGCAGAATCTTATTCTAAAGCAATAGTCATGCCATTAGATATTAGAATGAACAAACTTCTCCAAATCTCATCTTTGAAAATGGCGAGAAAGTCAAGCCTTCTCAGGATGTCTTGTGCAAGCATGTTTTTAGGGGAGCAGGGGAGCAAAGGGAGCAATGATAAGTAACTACTATATTCTCAGCCTCAAATAACAGAATGATTATCAGTTTTCTCATTATAGAAGCTCTACGGCATGATGATAAGGACACTGGGCTTGGAATTCTAATTAGGAATTCTTCCTCGGCCACTAAGTATCCCTGTGATTTAAAAACCCACGTAAAAAGAGTTGGAAAGATTACAACACATAGCTATTTTGAAATACCAACCATCATAAGCACTATTGTTGCATCTGAAATCATAAACTTATTAATCAAGTTCACATCCATATTTTTTTTGTTTTGTTTTTTAAAATTTTTTTAATTATTTATTTATGATAGTCATACAGAGAGAGAGAGAGCCAGAGACAAGGCAGAGACACAGGCAGAGGGAGAAGCAGGCTCCATGCACCGGGAGCCCGACGTGGGATTCGATCCCGGGTCTCCAGGATCGCGCCCTGGGCCAAAGGCAGGCGCCAAACCGCTGCGCCACCCAGGGATCCCTCACATCCATATTTTTAATAGAGGTACAATATCATACAATACTGTGTATCATGAGTACAGTATGATTTATAAAGCATCCAAGGTAACTACTGCTGAGTATGAAGAAATTTTTCTGCCAAGGAGCTAAAAGTTCTTTAAAAATAGGGATCCCTGGGTGGCACAGCGGTTTGGCGCCTGCCTTTGGCCCAGGGCGCGATCCTGGAGACCCGGGATCGAATCCCACGTCGGGCTCCCGGTGCATGGAGCCTGCTTCTCCCTCTGCCTGTGTCTCTGCCTCTCTCTCTCTCTCTATCATAAATAAATAAAAAATTTAGAAAAATTAAAAAAAAAATAATCCCTCATTTAGTGTTCCTTTGAAATTAAAAGAAACCAGAATGTATTACGTGATGTGTGCTAGGCATTTTACATGCATCTATTCATTTCACCTTCACAACAACCTAGAGGAGAAACTGAGACTCAGGGAAATGTAGTAACTTGCTGAAAGCACAAAGTTCCTAAGTGGCAACAGATCTTGGATCTACATCCAGGCTAGACTGATTGTAAAGCTTGTGTTCATTACATAACACTGCCTCTTCAGCTTTTAGATTTGGGGTCCATAAAGAGCTAGCTGCCTCATACGAGGTTAAAGAATAATTACTTTCAATGTAGTAGAAGGGAAATCCTCAGATGGTGGGACACTGTTTGGCTATATTAAATTGCCTCCAAATAACATACTAATTTGAAGATAATTTCCAGACAATTCCTATTTAATCAAACCAGTCTTTTCCCCACTAGTTAGAGAAATTAGGATATTACTGACTTTAAGCCTGAGATATGCAAAGAAACAGTTCCGGCATTTGGATAAGAGAAAAAATAAAGCAAAGGGTAAGTTTCCCGAAACTCCAATGGCATGTGAATAAACATAACAAGAACATTTCCACTGGAAATGCCAGAAGTTATCACTTCCAGAAAGGAGGCTGCTTTCTCAATAATTTTTTTCCATGAAATTAGAGAAATTGTCACAAAACAAAAATGGTGACCCAGGAGCTTTTATAGAACTAAATCAGTAAATTAGAGGCTTTTTCATTTTGACATTAAATATAATACACAAAAGGAGAAAAATAAAAGTATATGAAATATTTTATAAATCTATGCCCCTTTTCCCATTTATTTATTTAAACCACTCTGGTCCTTGAGAACAAGAGTCTTTTTTTTTTCCTTGATAAAATAACATCCGCTCCGCCCTCTGCTGCTTACCTGCTGCAGATCGTGCTGAGGGCTCCGTATGGATTACAGTCACATGGCAGACAGAGCCCAGAAGTGAGATTCAGGTAAAAGCCCTCCCTGCAGCTGTCACAGCGAAGCCCTTGATAATGCGGCTGACACTCACATTGCCCTGTGGTCTGGTTGCAGCGATTCACATCCAGGCTTCCCACCACAGAGCAGTTACATGCATATTCTAGGAAGGCAAGAAGGAAAGAGACATTATTAACCAAGATTTAATGTTTTCTTAATAAAATGAACCCTATTGTATTTTTCCTAATAAGTGTTGATGACAATTTTGTAAGGATGGATAAAATTAATTCTGGCTCAAATTCACTTTCTGTCCCGTTTATTTTATTTAAGATGGGAAATGTATAAAGTATGTAAAACTATCCATCATTCATAAATATAAAGCTAACATTCTCAATGCCCTTGCCAGTACTCTCTATATTCTCGCCCTACCCTACACTCCAATATGGGGTGGGGGAAGTCCTTTATACTATTCAGTTTTTCAGGACTGGAAACCTCTAAAGGCAGGGCCTGTGCTTACCTACACGGCAGGGAGAGCAGAGGTTGGAAATGGCAACGTGTTAAATAATAAATAGTCCCACTGCAGAGCAGCAAAAGCCTAAGGCTCCAATGGTTTACTGTGGTAACTCACACTAGTCAGACAAAATTGTGCTACAGCTGGAATCAGAAGCTAATATGCTCTTCCCAGGAAGGAATTCAGGGAGACTTGACACTTTAAGGTAAGGAAAGGATGAACAATAAATCCTAGATGAGAAAGTTTACACAGTCATCCTGATCGGTGGGCTAAAGCCAATCACAGTTTGAATCTATTCCCTAGGTTACAAGATCTAGAAAATAAACTTTCCTTTAGCTACATTTCAAAGAGTTCTGTGGACGAAAATATTTTAAAGTCCTTGGCTTTAGCCTTTAAATGTAGATATATTTAAAGGTCAACTCAAATTTGGTTTTTGCTATTGTTTACATTCATTTTATCAAGAAGTTATTTTCAACATGGTTGGACACAGTATCAACACAGGATTTTGTGAGCATGTCAAAAATGAGCAAAGTCAACTGCAGATAAAATAAAATCTTGTATAAAATCTTGTACACAGTTTAGGAATAGCCCTAATTCCAAAACAGCTGCAAACCTAGGTTTAATAAGCTCCCCCTCCCCCCCCAAAAAAAAAAATCAATGGTACAAATTACACTTCTGAGTAGGTAAGGAACTATATGAAATGGTGTTACATTGATTACTATTTAGCTTGGAAAAAATTATCTTTAATGTCATTTTTGATGGTTTTTTAAAAGTTACTGAATAACTGCAAATCCAGGGTCTTAAGAGAACGTTATAAAGGCTTCTGCTCCTCTAGTATGGAAAAGGAAATGAAAATTCCTAATGTCATCACAAGCAGCTTATCCACACCAGTCAAAGTAAAGGATTCCACAGAGAATTCCCACGTGGCCGCACCCATACCAACGCCATACCTCCCACTCTTCATCAGTTCCTAAACTTTGGGGTCGGCTTCTTTCCTTGCTCTCTCCATCTCTTCTAATACGTAAGACAGATGGATGAATATACATATGCTGGTGAGTGATTTCCTTTATGCCTAATCCAAGAGTGGGTGGTGAATTAGTTAAAAATCCCAGAGAAGAATTTAAGATTTCTTCAGCCCCAAACTTAGGAAAGGTATCAGTTTCCCCTCCCAGTCAACTGTCTTGTTTTACTAGGCTACGTAACCGTGACATTTCTTTCAGAGTTACTTGTTTTCACTTTATTTCTAGTGTCTGGTGTGTATCTGTGTGTGTATGTGTGGTTTTTGTAAATAAGGAAGCCACGTTTAGTGGCCTGCAAACCTGCCAATGACAACTTCATGGTAAGACCTTCACTCCACCAAAAATGACCAGAACGCTTAAAATAACATTTTCCTTCCAAATCTGGCAGAATTTCCACATACATCCAATTCCTCCTGCCGGACCAGTTTCATCACAAGTTAAACTAACCGACTATGCTAGTGTGGGCAGACCCAGCTCAAAAAAGTGAATAGGTTAAGAAAAAAGTCTAAGGCCGAGAATTTTATTCTATTACTTCCTTGCTAATGTACTTCCATCTGAAACCTGAATCAGTGTTCCCAATCAATGAGATGGGTATTTTTTTTTTAAACAAAATAATCAGGGGATCCCTGGGTGGCTCAGCGGTTTAGCGCCTGCCTTCAGCCCAGGGCGTGATCCCAGAGTCCTGGGATCGAGTCCCGCGTCGGGCTCCCTGCACGGAGCCTGCTTCTCCCTCTGCCTGTGTCTCTGCCAGTCTCTCTCTCTCATGAATAAATAAATAAAATCTTTTTTAAAAAAGAAAATAATATAAAAATTTTGAGGAAAAACCTTTTTTTTTTTTCCAGTAAAGTTCTAATGGGGAAACTTCAGTACTAATCAAGTTCACTAGCTATTTATTACTGTTATGGAGCCAAGCTAATCTCTTCAATATCCTCTGAACATATTTTTAGTCTAATCTTTGGACCTTTGCTCACTGTGTCTTCCTTGAAATGCTCTCCACTCTCCACATATTCAAACCTATTCCCTATTTCAGGAATCAGCTGAAACTTACTCCTCCACAAACTCTTATTACCCCTGGCGTGAATCTAAGAGAACATCTCCTACCTGTAACTCTTATATGCCAATAATCTGAAGAAGCAGTAAAGTGAAGCAGTTATGAGTACAGACTACAGAGGCAGACAACTATAGGTTTAAATCTAGCTCTCTCTTTTACGAACTTTATGGACTTAGACAAGTTAACTAACCTTGTGCCTTCCTTTTCTTGCCTATAAACAGGGCATAATACAGTACCTATTACACTCGGCCCCAACACCTGAGCTAGAGGTAGGTCAGAGTGCTGCAATATGCAATACAATAGCTGGAAGAAGGAGATGCTAGATAAAATAACAGAAACACAAGTCAGATGTCAGATTCATAGGACACAGCTTTGTTGTACCCTGTGGATAAGAAAGCTTACGATTGGGTTTATTACTATGGCAGTTTTTGACAATATTTAGGAAATAAAATTAGTGTCCCAACATTCAAAAATCCAAGTTGTAGTTATCTAGGAAGAAAATGAGAGGTATCCTATGTATCCTGGGCTCCACATATTACCGATATAGGCACCTACGAATACAATGATGAACACAAAAGGGTTGAGTATGTGGTTTTAGAGAGGACAAAAAAGAGCATTTATTTGATTATATGCCCCTTGTATGAATCGTCCTAACAGTAGTGGAATACCTGGCAAAAAATTCAGCAAGAGAGACAGCCCCAGAAAGGGGGTTGATTTATGAAGACAAAATGCACTATCACATTAACATTCTTCCTCAAATTAACCAAAGGAACAGAAGTTAAAGCAAAGCATACCAAATGCCAGGGAACACGTGCATTTCTTCTGTTTGGAGCTCAGAATCTGAGGCCCTATCCCAGGGATTGACCTCAAACGAAATGATCCAAGTTAAATGAATAGTATGGGAAACAGTAATAAAGGTAAAGCACCACGAATCTGCAATACATTGTGTCAGGATAACTTGTCAGCTTGTAAATAGAGTAAAAGCTCGGAGTCTTCACGGTTCTTGACATTCATATAGAACCAGACAGGAGTTAATGCAGAAACAATGCAGTTTACTAGGAGGTGGGCAATATGAGAGAGAAGAAAGGAATTTCGATTGACAGAAGCAGTGGGAAGGACCCATAGCCAAGAACAAGAGACGAAGGGCGGACTTCTTAATGAGGTAGACTCTTAGACAACAAAGCAGCACAAAGGAGTCAGTGACATGACAGATGGTAAGTCACCAGGATGGATGTTGATGGGAATGGAACAGTACGAAGAGGACACAAAAACTAATCACGGACAAGTCTGGATGAAATGCCAGAAATCTCCTTTGGTTGCCTAAGAGTACATATGAAGTAAATTCTCCGTCATTGGAGCTGTGGGTTTTTTCTCAATGTCCTGTGACTCTTGGGAAAGCTCTATAGATAAATAATTAGAGAAAAGTATCATAAATGTTAGCAGAGAGATGGCAGTCTTTGGCAATATTTTTTTCTTTTTTGTTTGGCTTCTGAAGAGCAATGAAATACTTTGAACAGCACTGAGTTGATGCCTAAAGAAGAAAAAGAAACTAAAATCTGGTGCCAAACTGTTTGAAAATAGAAATATAGAGGCCCGGAGGAGAGACAGTAACTCGGGATTTTTCTCTGAGAACTTGAACTTACGTGATGATTTTGTAGTAAAAGTACCCAAAGCAATCACTGCATTTAAATCAAATATTGAACTTTTTCAAACATTCCTCACCAAGGGTCAAGAGATGAACATTTTCAGCAATGAAAAACAAATATAGAGTAACTTTGCTTAGAAGTCCCATAAGCTCCCTGACTCTCTGTGCACAAACACCTGTACTGGTAAGAGACCGTCTCCGTGCACATACTAAAGTTCAGCTTTGAACCACCTCAGGTCACTGCTCAGTAAAACATCCATCATATCCTCTAGAGAATTTTTATTGTGTTTTGGTATCTGCAACTACTTTGATGGTAGTTTTTAGAAAAATATTAACTGTGATCTCTGTCTCTCTGCCTCTTTTTGAAGTCCTTTCTGACTACTGTAATGAACTATGATGTCTGGAAACTCAAGCAATTTGGTACAATAGTGTGTTAGCCTTTTGCAGATAAAAAAAGAACTATAAAAGCAGTAAATGAAAGATGTGAAATAAGAAAATGAAAAAATTATGTCCCCTGTCAATTCATGAGGCAAATGTCATAGAACAAAGACTGTTAATTGATAAGAGCACTGTTGCTGAACTAAATTGATTACAAAATAAGTATTGCATTTATGTATAGATACTGGAAAAATACTTGTAAATATAACTAACACACAGAGCACTCACAGGAATCTGGTTCAGGAATATAGACTGAAATTCTGTTTATAGCCTCTTGCAAAATTGTGAAAATACCTTTGCAAAACTAAATTTCTGACTCCTTTTTGTTCCTTCAACAATGATTTCACTCTTGCTTTCAGTATCTTCAGATTTCAAAAGAATAAAAAAATTAAGAATATTTTTTTAAAACTGCTCTAGGCTATTCCAAAGCTTTTCATTCTCCCCTATATTCAGAAGACATACAAAATGTACTATAATATTTGTTAACGCATCTTCTGTT